GTTTATCAGCACAAACAAACGGTGATCACATTCCAGACTGATGCGATCAGACACAGCATCCGGGAGCTAATGCATCACGTCGCTAAGGCAACGGGAACACTTGGGTTGACATGCCTGCATCTGAAAGCTTAAAAGATTATCTGTCAGTAATATAAACGCTCTGCTTGCACCTCAGCCACGCTCCGCTGCCAGGCACGGCCTCCTGCTGCGGGTGTAATCCCCTGAAATCCTTGGGATTCACCTGAATCCTGGGGATTCACCCCGCTCACGCATCCCACCTGCCAGTAAACTCCACTCCTCTGCCACCTTTAACGCTGCAAAAACCTAAAGCTGAAGGCTCGAGGTTACAGAAGCGAGCAACCGTCTCCTGCCGACCTCCCGGAACAGAGCACGCAGAGCGCCCCTCCAAGGGCCGAGCAAGCACGTGGGTTGTTCTTCCCTTCTAGGAGCCGGGCACCTGAAGCACATCGCTGCAAACCGAGCGAGGAGGATGCTCGAAACATCCACTTTAGGCTTCAGACGTGTAAATGTTTTCTCAGCACTACAGAAACATGCTTTGACAATGAGGATGCTGACACTAATAAATGCTGCATTAACAAAGCCTCTGTGCTGGTGCTTTCCTCATGGCCAGGAATACAACCTCTAAGCAGTGTTGTTCCTTCTGAAGAGAAGGCAAAACTTGACACTTGCTTTGGAAACTGTTTGCACGGTCCACGGCCCTGATCTGGCTCCCTAACTTGCAAGCTAAGCAAGTTTTAAACTAGGCACTGCCGGTGCACAAAAATGCTGCTAATATTGCAGGCACCCAGGGAATTAAATTGACCTGAAGTGTTTTGTTTTGACTGTGCATGCTGACACTGCTAAAGTGGCACTACTAAAGGCTTCTGTGCGAGGCACTACGATACTCCTAAATTACCAAACAGGGAACCTGGGAGCTCAGGGGAAATCCATGCTGCTCCCAGTAGGTACCTCAGGTTCAAACAGAAGACAATCTTTCCACATGAACGTTCAGCCAAGCCCCAGCGACTACTCTTTCAAACGAGAGCATAAGCAAGTTTCCACACATCTCTGGCGAGGGCTGCACTGATGAACCACACTCTTGCAGCATCCTGGGCAAGAGCTGCCCATGTCCATTACACACTAAGTACTTTGAAAAGCATCATAGTTACCTGACTTCAAACCCGCCTGAAGACACCAGGCTGCCATCGCCAGGAACTGGCAGGGAAGAGAGAAAGAGTTGCACAAGATTGCCCCGTCAGCCGGCCAAGCTACTTAAATTGCAGCTTGGAGAGGAAGACCCTGTGTTTCAAGAGAGATTTAGCAATTTAATACATCCCTAAGAGCAGCCGAAAGAACTGAACCCAGATCCTGCACAAAGCGCTTGCAGGACCAAGGAGGACAGGTCCCAGCTCTGAGCACCGCTCCCTTTTCTGAACAGCCAAGCCCCTGCCAGTCGCAATTGCTTCCTTAGTTGCAGCAGGAGGAAATCTCTCTGCGCTCACTCTGTCTCGCTGCCAGCAATGACCCACGCTGAGATCCGCTTTAGAGCTACAACGCTGCTGCCAGGAGCAGGAGGTGAGGGCAGAGGGGAGGGAGTGCAGGGGGTGCTGCTCTGTCAACCGCATCGAGCCATGCATGGACACAAGAGCTGTTTGACCTGGTGCAGGTGGCTAGCAACCGCTGACATCACCCCTGCAGCCTGCAAGCAAAACTGCAGACCCTTTACTTCGTCCCTGGGCCTGAGACCAATGCACGGGCTGGAGGAGTCAGGAGGATTCCCAGTGCAGCCACAGCATTTGGGGGCCCATCCCTAGCCCAGCCTCTCTCATCCATTTCCATGGTGAAAAGCATAGCACTATGGGCACTACAGGCATCATTTGGGATCTCTCACCTTGCCAGGGACTGGGAGGGACTGGGCTTGCAGGCTGGGGGCTAGGGTTTGGGTTCCTCCACGCCGGCTGTGCCAGGGCAGCAGTCATCCTGCTGCGCTGGGGACAGGAGCCTGCTCAGCCCAGCAGGGAGCAACACAGGATGGCCAAGGGAGCAAGCCCCAGGAGGTCACAGGAAGGTGCTAAGCATGTTTCTGAGCCCTTCTCTTTTGCTCTGACAATGTCATACCAGGCTAATCCATCAGCTCCAGAAGGACCCTCGACCCCAGGACTAGGAAAGAGGCAGCAAATAAGAAAGATAACCCATCTTCAGGTGAATGAAGAGCAAATGAAGGGAAGGGTCTTTCCACCTCCTTCCCTGTCCACCCACCCTCCTCAATACACTGCAAATGATTTAGAAGACAAACATCTTAGCACTGAGAAAAATTTGAGAGCTACCAATTGTGGTGTGAATCCTTCTTCTTCTTGGCACCTACCGGAGTGCCAACTGCTACAAGCCACTAAATATAAACCTCCGCGGAGCGGAAGTGGGATGAGGGCAGAAATAACACCGATATTGCTAGCTACCTCTCCTGCTATGCACAAGCCTGTCCTGTACTCTTTATCTTTATAGCTCTCTCTAATTGTGGCTGTTTTTTCCAGCTAGACCTGGACCTACTTGGCATCTGGTGAAAGGGCTCACAGTAAAGTGCGTGTCAGCTGAAATTTATGGGACTGTTGCTGTTCTCTGCTTTCCACTCCTGCCAGAGAGGAAAGTATCTTGCCATTTGGGTCCAGCTGCCTTGAAGCTGGGATTTGCTCCCCTCCTGCAAACGCTGCTTCTTGCGGCCTGCCTCATGCTGTGAGCGTGCCGGATGCTGCAAACACGTTTCGGGGGCAGGTGGTGCAGGGCTCCCCGCACATCGCCCAGTGAATCCTGGGCAGCACCACAGGGTGCGATGGGCTTCGTCCTCGCCCCAGCTGGATTTCTTCTGAGGGCAGGCACCCTCTTTCACAGCTAAACAGAGCAGAGTCCTCTTCCACGGCATGAATTTCCAAATACGACTTGCCAGTGACTGCCTCTCCTTTTACATGAATTTTAGCAGTAGCGTACTAAAGGAAATGGAGGCATTTATTGACTTTCTGAGAGAAAATGACACTTGTTAAAGCAAAGCAATACTACCACTTGCATTACAGCCTGAAAGATCACAAAGCACCCAGAGAATTACAACAACCCCGGCCTGACCTATAGCCATTTCTGGGATGGAAAAAGCCAGCTGATTAAGAACATGCAGAAACACGACATTGCATAGTAGGACATGAAAGGAAGAAGCAGTCTAAAATGGCAATAAGGAATTTAGGCATCAACAGGCAAAAAATGAAATCAGTCAGACTGGACTTTGGCCAAGAAACAGGGATTACAGCCAGCAGTGTGAATGATCTGCGTTCGCTGTAATATAGTCACATAGTAAATACTTGGATAAAACACTTGAAAGAGCCCAAAGCTGAATCCCATCAAGAAAGCTAATCACATGATCAAGACAAGATGTTAAAGATTCTTTAAACACCGAATTCAAAGCTATATTAGCTGCGCTAGCAGTAAGTGCTCACTGCTTTTCAGTGAACTATTCCCGCAGGCATTCAGGCTGTGACTATCCACGTGAATCTCTCTTGCATTTGTACAGTAAAACCCACTGGCTCATTGCTGGGGCATTCAAGGGACAGGTAGTTCAGGCGCAGACAAGCGGCATCATCAGCGTATGAAGCCGTCCCCTTTCCCCTCCAGCGTATTGCAGGGGATCAGGAACAGGGCTGTTAAGCCATCACCACTTTACTGCTTTTCAGAAAAGGTGTCTGGTTCCATTTTTTGGTTACCATTTTATCAGACTCCTGCCATCATGTCTCAGCTGAAAGGAAGAAAAGGGTTGGCGGCGATAGCATTTTTTTTGCTTGCTTTTTTTTTTTTTAAATAACACAAAACAACCCTCCCCCCCTACCCCGAGAGATTAGCAGTAGTGTTTACAAGGCAAAATGA